ACTAAAGGGGGGGGGGGGCAAAAAATGCCCCCCCCCCCCCCACCGCCTGGAAGGCTAATGGTGAGGTCACGAAAATGACCTGACCTCATATGACCTTTAGGAAAAATCCGAGACATACAAGTTGTGGGACTTGTAATGGATACTAGATCCTGAAAGTTTCATTTCCCTGTGAAAGCTTATCTGGCAGTGAGGGCGTTGCGAAGTTGCGACATCTGAAGACCGTGCAGAGGTTCACTTATGACGTCATAATACTAGGTCAGTGACCTGACCTGACCCGAAAATGCGGTTGGTGTCAAAAGATTCGGCTTCAATCAAAGGTCAGGTATGCCAAATTTCAGCTCTCTATCGCCAGCGTGTTTGGAGCTATCGCGAAAAACCCCTATGGGGGGCGGCACCCGCCCCCCCCCCTCGGCCGGCGAGGGTTAAAACGCAAATTCTTGAGCGGAGGAGCGATCTGCCGAAAAAAACTCCGACTGTAAGCTTGATATGGAACAGACTATAGACGAAATGTCTAGTACCTAATTCGGTCTAGTACACGTTTAGCAGTTTGTTAATCGTCTAGAGGAGACGTTTAACAAAGCAGTTACACGACATCTGATAATTTTCTCTCTTTGCACGTGCAGCAATGGTTAACACTGTCTATGGTGCGGGATAAGCCGAGATAAACGCATGACAATACATTCTAACCCGCGCCGTGCTAGTGGCCTTAACTTTCCGCCGAGTGCTGGAAGGGAGGGCCCCGCCCCCGTCTAACTCGGCTCCTGCGGTCACGTAGCGACACGCCATAGGCGGCAATCGAAAGAGCGACAAAAATAAGGAAGAAAATACTTCGGTCATCTTTAAGGTCAGGTCAAATGTCAGGTCACCGACACCAGAGGTCAACAAAGGTCAAATTTAGTCAATTTCAATAACTTTGGAAACTGCCAATGCAACGGCTAGCTTGGGAACCAATTGAGCTACAGCGCCGCAGAAAAGCGCATTCGATAGCCCTTTTACAGACCCTTCTGAGTATTGTTTCAGATTTGACCTCAGATCAACGGTTTAGCCAAGGTTTAGCCTCCAAAGGGCAAAAACGGTAAAATTAGCCGTTTCACGAAAAATGTTCTTCGCCAATAACTTTTGACTCAAGAGAGTCACGACATTACTTTTGGCAGCATCGTGTTCCTCTAGTCGGTCGAAACGCGTCGAATTAACTATTTGTTGGCTTTGAAGGGTCATTTTGAAAATTTGACCTCAGATCAAGGTCATGACCTGACCGGAAAGGGCCATGCTGCATATCAGTTGATCCGTATCGTTGAACTGAACACAGCTGACGTGTTTTCACCGCTCTAGCACGTCTCTATCAAAAGTTATAGCCAAAAAACTGCTGGTGACCGTTCATGACCTGAGATGACCTCAGCCTCAGGGGCATACAGAGGGGTCACAGCCCACAGGTGCATTTTTCCGATTCATTAACCCGCGCCCGGCTGGGGGTCCTGGATTTCCACGCCCTGCTGGGGGGGGGGGGGTGTTTGAACACCCCCCTTGTAACTCGGCTCCTGGGCCACGTAGCGATACGCGGAAGGCTGCGTTTGAAAGAGCGTCAAAAATAATGACGAAATCACTTCAGTCAATTTTTTGGTCAGGTCAAAGGTCAGGTCACCAGAGGTCATTGAAGGCAAAGTTTCGCCGATTTCCAGGTCGAATGGCGAAAATTTCCAAGAAGCCAACGCATAACTCGGGAACCAATAGAGCTACAGCGCCGCGGAAAAGCGCATTCGATAGCCCTATTAACGCCCTTTCTGAATAATCCTCTCAGATTTGACCTAACGTCAACGGTTTTGCCTGCAGGGGGCAAAAACTGCAAAAATAGCCGATTTTTTCGGAAACAGTTTTCTGCAATAACTTTTGACCCAAGCCCTGTACGAGCTTACTTTTACCGGCATCGTGTTCCTCTCGTCAAGACGCATCGAATGAACTATAACTTGACCTTGAAAGGTCAACTTGAAAATTTGACCTCAGGTCAAGGTCATGACCTGACCGGAAAGAGTCATGTTGCATATCAGTCGATCCGTATCGTCGAGCTGAACACATCTAAGGCGTTTTCATCGCTCTAGCATGCCTCTATCAAAAGTTATTTGCGAAAAACTGTTAGATACCATTCGTGACCTAAGATGACCTCAGGGCATAAACAAGGGTCACGGACACAATTTTCATGTTCAGTGTGTCTAAACCACTTGTAATTCGGTGTTTGGGAGTGTTTATAATGTCTTTCATCCAAAAGAGGCGCATTTCAATTTTCTCCCATTGACTTATAATGGGGAGGTCGCAAAATTGACCTGACCTTAGGTCATCGATATCAAAATTCTGAGATATACATTTTGTACATGCTATTGCTCTTAGCAATCGCTGAAAGTTTCAAAGCGATCGGTCACTCGGTGTAGCTATGACAGACATTGAAACTTTTTATGAGGTGAGGTCACTTCAAGTGACCTGGTGACCTGACCTTGAATGACCTTGGTCTGAAATTTTTACAACATGTGTAGAATTGATGTATGATAAGGTGTACCAAAAACGGCGGCGCTCCGCGCCGCCGTTTTTGAGATATTCGCGAAAAACCACAAGGGGGGTGTTCAAACACCCCCCCCCCCCAGCAGGGCGCGGGTTAACCCGCGCCCCGTAGGGCTACCGGCGGACCCTACCACCCGTAGGGGGGGGGGGGCCGTTTCGGCCCCCCCCCCCTAAGATCTCGGAAAGTTACCGGCCGATTTTCAAAATTCAAACGGCGTTCGATAGCCCCACTCGGGAACTACCTTGTGACCAAATTTCATTGACCTAGGTCAAACCGATGACGTCACAGGTCAGGTCAAAGGTCAGATTTTCACCGTTCACAGCCAATTCAAGAAATGTGCTGTGAAAGCGAGTAAATTGGTAATTTATTGAAAACCATCGATGGTACATTGTTCGTCAAACACATACTTTGCTATCTGAGGTCACTGATACCAGGTCAGGTCACAGCGAGGTCAGGTCACCGGGGGTCACAATATGAATGTGTCGCGTGATACATGTTTTATGGTCCATTTTACATGACAAATGCGATTATGTGGGTTAGGCAGCCTTTGGGGCCAGCCTAGGTCGCGTTTTTGTGAAGGTCAGGTCAAGGTCAGGTCAAATTAGGTCAAATTTCAAAGTTGATATTTTTGCATAAAATGGGTATCGATTCGATGCAGCTCGTCACGGGGAGTCTAATGGTGGTCTTCGTTTTGCTCTACAAGTTCTAGAATTGCCAAAAATTGAGTTTGAAAATTTGACGTCATCATTTTTGAACAGTTTTTTCGCTATAACTTGGCCAAAAAACGAGGTATCGATCTGAAACTTGGTATGTAGATAGAAGACGGTAGGCACTATCACATATATTCCGGTTTTTTCGAAACTCAAAAAACTTTTTGGATTTTTTGGCGAATATATAAAAAAAATGCTTTTTTGATTTTTGGGGGTCAAAACTCAAAAATTTAAAAAATTCGAGATAGCAGTTTTGTAGCCCTGTCAATTCTACACCTTTTCTGTCTTGATCATTTTTCTGTATCTTCAAAGCTGTAGTCCTGACAGGTCTTCTCGCGAAGGTCTTTTTTCGGTCGAAAATGACAGAACATGACGTCACTCTGACGTCATTTGTGGCCAACCTATCATAGCCTCTGGAAAAATGTTTGGTCACAATGTGTAAAATTGATGCCCGGAGGGGTCCTGAAAGTTTGGTGGCGATATCTCCAGCCGTTTAGGAGATAGTGACCGAAAAAGACAGGGGGGGCCGTTTCGGCCCCCCCCCTACGGGGCGCGGGTTAATCATCGTTACTTATGAACCGATGTTTGAGAGGGTTTTGAACGACACTCTTCCATAAGATGCGCATTTCAATTTTCTCCCTTTGACTTATCACTTAGGTACTTAGGTAGGTAATGGAGAAGCCGCAAAATTGACCTGATCTTAGGTCACAGATAATAGATATAAAAAATAGGATAAATACATTTTATACATGCTATTAGGTACTAATATCAATCGCTGAAAGTTTCAAAGTGATCGTTCAGTCAGTGTACCTACTACCTAGCTATAGCGAGCCTTTGAACTTTTTCTGAGGTAATGTCACTTGACGTGACCTGGTGACCTAACCTTGAACGACCTGGGTCTGAAATTTTCAGAACATGTGCGGAAATGCGGCCCTGGTGGCGCAGTTGGTTAAGGCGTCGGCCCGCGGTGCGGGTGGCTCTGGGTTCGATCCCCGGTGCCGCCCGTCCCGCAGACGTCCTCCCTGGGTGTCTCACGAGTGGGGTGGGCTCCTACGTTAGCCGTAGCCTAGGGGGAGGGGTAAGGAAGAGGAGGAGTAGGAGCCTTCCTGTAACTTGTAAATGGGCGCATTGGCCTGTTGGAAGGATGACGAAAAGAGATGTATGTACCTACACGCATAACAAAAACGGTAGCGTTGCGTGTTTTTGAGATATTCGCGAAGAACCTGCGGGAATGGGGCGTAAAAACGCCTCCCCCAGCACGGCGCGGGTTAATACCTTTTGCTGTCAAAGTGGAAGCACTTAATTGGAATTAGGCGGAGCAAAACGCATTCAATTAGCAGAGGACATGTACGATAACTACTCAATGCAGGAATGAGAACGTTTGAATAAACTTCCGAACGGTTATGGCATAAAATAAAAATAAAAATTTAAAAAGCGTAAGAATATTGGGAAAGTAAATATTGCCTGGGAAAGTATGCCTTTTCGTCTCTCACAGAATAATGGCGACAGGCCGGAAACCCAGGTCTTCCTCATTCGAACGACCGCGAAGAGAAGTAAGCATTATTGGGCCTCATAAACTGGAGCTGACGCCAGTTATGAAGGGGTAAGACGAAGGGTGGCCCCTTTACCCTAGCCTCCCCTACCTAGTGATAACGAAGAAGGCGGACGGTCGCCGCTGCTGAGACTGATGGCTCTTTTACCGCGTGACACCGAAATGCTGCCCAAATGTCGCACTTCTTTGTTTTGGATCGTAGTAAGTTTATTATTATTACAATGTAACATCGCATCACAATTCACAATTGTACAAATATCAGCCTCGTCAGGCATCGATGAACGTGCTCTTAGCTAAAAAAGAAAGAAAAAATAACAGCCGTGAAGCGCAATACAACACACGTGTGAAGAGAACCAAATAAGTCTATTTTCGAAACTTACTTACATTACAGAAAGGCAAGTAAATCTAATATCTCGCTGCAAACAGCGAGCTGCAGGACCAGCTGACGGACCCTAGCAGGTACACCCTCGGGCTCCACCTGACCGTCGAACGCTCTGTGGGAGGGTGCCGATGGGTTGGCCGCGCTGGTGGTGATGGTGATGACTGCCCGCTGTGAGTGAAGTCGCGGCCACCGCTGCAGAACGCTCCGGCCTGCGGCGGCGGCCGCGCTGTTCTTTGTGGGTGGATGATGCCGTTCGTGCCCTCCCCGCTGTCCGGCGCGGGTCCGATCACACCGGCAGGATGAGGTCGCCGTCGACGGCCTCCTCCAGCAGGTCGCGGATGTAGGCGATCTCTGGTCGGGTGAGCGGCGGCACCGCCTTGGAGATGGGCTCCGGCGACAGCCGAGTGGCCGACACATCGGCAATCGCGCGCGCCATCACCAGGCCCGGCTCGGCGACGCCGGGCTGCTGCGCCTGCTCCAGCCGGTTGTCGGCCTCCATGACGGTGCGCAGCTGGAGCGCGGCCGAGCGGTGCCAGGGCGCGCCCGTCTGCGTGGGCTCGCCGGAGAGCGACTCGGCCAGCAGCCGTTCCAGCGCCTGCTGCGTCAGCGGCACCGGCTCCAGCGTAGCGCCGATCCCCGGCGAAGGCGACGGCATCGCCCGCTGGATCTCGATGGCCGTCGTCATCCGGTTGAGGACGAACTGGCGCCAGACCTCGGGCTGCGGCAGCTCGGCCAGCGGCGTCACGCGCGCCGTGGTGGTGGTGGGAGCGGCGGTGGTGGTGGTGGGCGCCGCGGTGGTGGGCGCCGCGGTGGGAGCCGGCGCGGCCGCGCCCCGGGCCGCGGAGCGCAGTTCGGAGATCTTCTGGACGGCGGCCAGGCCGCGCAGTGCGGCGGCGTGGTGCAGCGCGAAGGCCTCCTGCTGGGCGCTGAGGGTGGCCTGCGGAGCGGCCCGCGCCGTCAGCGCCACGACCAGCTGCCGGAGGACACAGACAACCGTCAGATAACGAGTCAGCTACGGGAGCCAGTGAAAGAACGAGGCCCAGCTGAGGCCAGCCACAGATGTATAGGTCAGGGAGGCATCGGTCAATGAATGAGCCCCAACCGGCGCGTGGGAGGAAATCTCGGAATGGTCCTCAACCATAAGCAGTTGTAATAAAAAACACCCCTTTTTACGCAAGGTGGGAAAAGCCAGCAGCATCACTTCGTTTAGTCACTGAAGGATTCAGTCATAATTGAAGGAATTCGCGTTAGGTGACTGCATAATGTGATGGTATGGTTATGTGTTCATTTTAATGATCAGTGATCACTGACATGCGCATTGCCTTGTCAGTAATTCGGTCCTACAAGGGTGGGTACATGATCCCATGATCCTTGTGACCGCTGGTCGATTTAACCCGCGCGGGGCTGGGGTCTCCAGCCGAACGCGCGGGGCTGGGGTCTCCAGCCGAACGCGCGGGGCTGGGGGGGGGGGGTGTGTGTGTGTAAATTTACCCCCCCCCCCTGTTATCTCCCGAACTAATGATCCGATTTGGAAAATTCAAACGCCAGTCCAAAGATCTCATCACGAACAACTAAAAACATGTAATTAATTTAAAGTTTGAGGTCAAGGTCAAGGTCAGGTCAAGGGTACAAATTGCAAGTTTCTAAAGTATCGGCCTTGCACCGTAGTTGCCGAAGAATGGAGTCATGTACTGAGACTGATTGCCCAAAACGTGTTCTTAGGCTACCAAGACAATATTCGTTGCATACAATATCATTCAGAGGTCAAGGTCAAGGTCAGGTCAGGTCAGGTCACCAAAAACAAAATATAGAAAAGGGCATGTGCGACATATGTTTTATGGGTCATTTTACTCATAGAATTCAATAGGCACACTCAATAAGTGATATGGACCACCTCTGGATGAATTTCAGGTCGAGGTCAGGTCAAGGTCAGGTCAAGTGAGGTCAAATTTTGAAGTTGGTTGTTAATGTCTAGAAAGGTGTCTATCTGATTCAGTTTTTCACGGCAAATCGAATGGTGCTATTTTTGTTTCCGTACGAGGTCTAGAACTTCCAAAAAAAATCATTTTTCAATTTTTTTTTTGTGTCGTGACGTCATAAAATTTTGAATAACTCCCACATTTTTGAACCGATTCTTTTAAAAATTGGTATATAGGTGCACATAGACCACTTCTCTGACATATATTCCGTTTTTTTCGATACACTTAAAATTTTGGATTTTGTAATTATTTTCCCAAAAAAGTCAGTTTTTTGAAGAAAAAAATTGGGCCAAAATCCAAAATTTTCAAAAAAAACGAGATACCCATTTGATAGACAAAGTAGCATTACGTATAACCTTTTTTGTTACGTCTTGATTTTTTAAAAATGAAGATGTTAGCGGCGTTTGAAATTTTGCCGTTTTTGAGGCGAAAATGGCGAACATGACGTCACTAAAACGTCAATTTCTCAAAAATTTTCCGACGGATTTCGCTCAAATTTTCAGGGAACGTGTCAAATTGATGTAAGAAAAGGTACTGAAAGTTTGGCGGCACTAGCGCCGCCGTTTTTGAGATACCTATTGCAAAAATTCGCGAGGGGGGGGGGTAAAATTTACCCCCCCCAGCCCCGCGCGGAGATAGAAGAAGTCCAACTCGGTCGATAGTCGATAACCCGATGGTTGCAGTTACCAATGTCGCTGGTTTTTTCGCAGTTAGATTGTAACGTTTCTCTTTCCTCGACCTCTGACCTGACATAATGTTTCGACGGTTTTGTCCTTCGTGTTGGGATCTACTGACATTTACGCGTTATAACAGACAAAAGTACCTAATTGTAGTCAAGGAAATGTTTGTACGATACACATGATCAATTAATAACGCATTCTATGAATCGCTCATTCTCCTTTCAATCGGGAATTATACGATGATCGTAAATTTTCCGAACGCTCCATTCAGAAGTAGCGGGTAACCAGAAGCGACACGCAAAAACGCTAATATTTCAGTGCGTCCGCTACCTTTGAGCAGCACGGTGAACAGAGCTATAAGCGGACATCGGCCGCGGCCGATGGCTACACGATAAGGACGTCGCTCCATTTCCCACGGAGGGTTTTCCTTCTACCAAGTCTTGACACACATTATGCAACGCAGCCGTCACTGCAGTAGCTCGCGGTTTTCCTGCCGCCGCTGATCTGCTCAGCAGACTCGGGCCCGGCCCTCCCTGCGGCCAGCGCGGCGCACCGCCCGCGATCACCATCTTGGTCCGCAGTTCCCAGGCTGCGATCAAGATTATCTACTGCACTACGCTGTGATCGACGCTACTGATTGAAATGCTGCTGGCTGACTGCTGTCAGGGCTGCTGTTTGGCCCGGTAGCAGTAGCGTCGCGCGGTCAAATCGGCCACGGTCGCTCCTGCAGTCTGTGCTGCTGACTTTGGCCCGGCGGTAATTGTAATGCGTTGACCCTGCTCGGTCAGTGTTCTGACTGACCCAGAGCCACGCTGCGGCGGCTCGAGGTCACGGCGGAGCGCAGATCGCCCGTGCGTGAGTGGTGGTCAGCGGCGGCCCGTGCGTGAGAGGCGGTCAGCGGCGGCCGCTCAGTTCCAGGTACAGCCGGCAGTTTAGGGATGACGCGACTGGTACGGCCCGGCCCGGCGGGGGCACAAGGGGCAGCCCCCTCAATTGCATGTTCCAGCACCGATCTACACTGTGATATTACAATGCGGGCGGGCTCGATGGTCTCTGCGCGCCAAATCAGGGCCCCGGGCACGTGTCATTGACGGCGCTCAATTGTGTAATGAATGTCAGGCACGTCGACAAACTGGGCTATGCAGGAAATATTGCGCGCTGAATGTAGGTGACGGAACAGGATGTGTGCTTACACATCGGCCAGTGACGTATACGAAGTTCCAGTGGCGGAGTCACTGAACGTGTAACTTGTAGAGTTATGCTGTTTGATTTCACTTGAATTTTCGTTGATGACTAATTTGAAGTTCAAAATGTGCGAAATTATTCTTCGCTAATGAAGGATCATTAAATGCCCGCTGTTTTGGACATACATGTAAATGCCGACTGTTTGGACATACATGTAAATACCGGCTGTTTGGACATAGACATCCATCTACCAATCAGACAGCAATTGATGGCTCTTCACCTTCCAGTAGCAACTTACCAGTATAACGCCTTTGAGGGCGACTAACGGAGCGAGCGAGAGGGTGGGTCTTGCACGTGCGAAATTTCGAGGGGGTACCTCCAGCTGACTTGTGCACGGCACCCTACAAACCGGTCTCTAGCGATGTGCCAAATTTGAGCACAATCGGCCCAGCCGTTCTTGAGATCTGGAAGCGGCACCCTGCACGTGCGCACGTGCAAAATGGGTCCCAACTGACTTGCGCACGGCACCCTACTAACTGGTCCCTAGCCGTGTACCAAATTTGAGCGCCATCGGCCCAGCCGTTTTCGAGATCTGGAAACGACCCCTGCACGTGCGCACGTGCAGCAGCACCCCAACTCTGACACATGGATATGCAGTGCCTAGTGGGTGCCTACCTACATGCCAACTTTCAGCGCAATCGGCCAAGTAGTTACCGAGATATTGCAACAATTACAAAAGTGACTCCTCTTCGTTTTGCACGTGGCACGTGCATAAGGGGTCACCGACATGCATCGGGAATAGTCCAATACTTGGTAGAAGGAATGAAGCTACCCTACAAAAATTACCCCGTGTAAATCGGTCAAGTGGTTGCTGAGATATAAGCCTCGCAAAAGCGTCCGCACGGCCGGCCGGCCGGCCGGCCGGCCGGCCGCTCATACTCAGAAATTTCCGTTAATCTAAGGAAAGACTCCGCTCGCTTCGCTCGCTCCGTAATAATCTATGCCCCTTTTTCCTCTCACAGGGCAAAATTGCGAGAGTTTGACAGAGCATACGGATATGGACTAGGATTCCTAGTCCATATCCCTATAAGCAGGTAGTCACCCGTCACACCGTCCGAACGGAAACAGCAGAGTCCCGGAACTTTTTGATAGCACCTCGTATTTCCAAAAGTAACGGAAAATGTATCTATATCCCTACGATTGAAGCCGTCCTTTTAACCATTCTAGTAAGCAGACTACCAGTAACAATTTAGACTTTGTTCTTTAGGTGAATGACATTGCGGAAATTCTGACACTGAGATTGATCGCGTGCAACAATGGTCCGAGGGCAATGGGAAATGGAATAGTTTGACTGACTGCATCATTCCGCTGTCCGATTTGTGGGATTCTGTAAATCACCTGCAGTAGCCTGCAGTACCCCGCCGAAAATCCCATGGGCATGGATAGTGAGTTCGAGCGGTCCGTGCATCATATCCAGCTGAACAGGACACGCAAAACGTCTTCGAATCCGCATATCAACAGCAGTGTTTCCGGACAGGTTTCCCCATGAGTTCAGGCTGATGCACAGAGTACCTAAGGAGTGCGGCATCCGAGCCCGCTCCAGTGGAAACCCAGCTCAGACAACGAGGAAAGATAGGCAGGAACATGCACTTCCAAAGTCTTTAAACGCATGTCTATGGTGAAATGCAGTGAAGTAACTTTGTAACATCACCGGCATTGCGTTTACAATATGACGCATAAACACCGTAAGTGCCTCGCATAAACACCTAAGTGCTCACAAGACTATAACAGCCAACAGATAAGCGAAACAACCAGGACTTTTCTACTGTTATTGGATGGTGGATCGGCCCTTCAATGGGATCCCACAAACACTGTGACTTGTGGGATTCGCTCCCAATCGTCTAAAGCCCACGCAATCACTCTGGACACAATGGTAACTATAGCGTGTGCACTGTGCAATGTGTGCATTGTCGGGGGTATAGCCAACAGGATGCTGCGGCACCAATGCGGCGTCAGAGAATGGAATTACCGAACGGGATAATCACGCCTTAGCCGGTATCGCAGCATCGGGGGCCTCGTGTTCAAACGGTGAGATGGCATTTAATATGCAGCATTCCTGGAACAAATCCTGATCGTATCTTTTTGGTGAGCGGCATTTTTCCTGTTCTCAGTGAGCCCGACCCCGCAAGCCTTATGTATTCATCAAGTCATGCAAGCGCTCTGTGAGTCAGCTTCAGAGATGGGGCCGGCGCTGTAGAAAGATTCGGTACCAAGCGGGATCCATCGGTCGTCTTTGCAGCTGGTCAAGACAGGCAGCTGTAGCTGCTCTGCCATTGTATTTACAGCTGACAGGCATGTGCAGCTGCTGCAACTGTTCATTCCCATCTGTTCAGATGCTTAGGAGACACGATAGCCAACCGCTCTGGTGACATTCTGCAGATGGTCATTGGTCAGCTACAGCCGTTCTGTAGCGAGCAAGAAAACTGAGATTTGAACTGAAGCGTTTCAGACGGATAAGGAGCAGATCTCTGTGCGTAAACAAATCTATTTTTTTTCCCAGCTGGAACGGCTTCCCTGTTCATGTTTAAGCTCCTTAGGCGGCGACTGGGGGCGGACAGTTTCAGCCGTTGCAACTGGACAGAAAACTCTCAGCTGAAAGAGAGAGAGAGAGAGAGAGAGAGAGAGAGAGAGAGATACAGCTACAGATATTTAACTGGCTGACTGTGCCTCGATAAATTATTCGGGAATCGGGTGAGATCGAAAACTGTTATTAGGGGACTCGCACCATTACGTAACAGACAGATCCGTATCGGGCATTATATCATGATAAAACCTAAGCCGTCACATTTGGAGCGCATGCATCCCGTTATGGTCAGCTCTTATACTGAGCTCAGTTCGGTGCACAGATCCTGATCGTAATCACCGATTGGTAAAATTGGGCTTACCATAACGATAGCCTGCCCGCATTGACGGCTTTACCTGCACTTGGAGCCCACGGTTACACATTTAAAAAGTTTGGAGCGTTTATATTTTTGCCCTTGAAGCTTGTAGCAAAGCCCACGACGGTAATAAAGTGCCTATAGGACATGTTGGATCCTCTGCGATAATGGCGCATTAACGTCTAGCTGTTGAGCTAGCTGTGGTTCCCGCGTGGAGCTCGCGTGCGGGGTGCTGTCGGCCGCCGACACCCAGTGTCAGCACCTGTCCCATTAGGTCACCGTTTGTCACACGGATGAAGTAACCGCCACAGTTTATATGTGGTGTTATGCCTACTGCTGCGCTTGAATACACGGATGCGGGAAAGGCCTGGTGGGTGTGGAACAGTCGGTAACAGCGGTAAACAGTCCTTTGTGTGCACCACTGTGCGGTTCTAAGCCGTCTTTACTTTCGCCAGTGGACCCCAATATAGCGTTGAATCAGACCCAGGTAACAGGTTAGGAGGTGTGGTTAATATTAGTCAACTCGCTCACTTAATGGCCATAAGACAGATCAAATGCAAATGCCCAGGCATTTGGAAACATTTTCACTTCTTAGGCTAGGCCTCCTATTAGCACTAACGCTCGAACTAACGCTTACTCACTAACTAACGCTTATGGGGGGGGGGGGGGGTTGGATGGACTCCCCTCCCTGAAACATTGAGGTATTGTTAGGTTAGGTTAGGTTCGCGAATAACTCGCTAAAAAGCGTCTGATCAAAGCGAAACTTTCAGTACCGTCGAGTCAATTCGTTTACACCTTGTCTTAAAACTTCATGACCCTGACTCAAATAATCTTTGATCCGTGACCGGTTTCCCGAGACTATGCAAAGCCGGAGTCGGGATTCTGCGTATGTCCGATGTCGTCGCACATTTTCCGTGTGTTTCTAGACTTTTTGTGATACAAACGTGCCAGTATGTAAAATAATGCTTGTCTGAGTCTCATGCAGTATTGTGGGTGTCAAGGTCACTTGATGGTCAGGTCAAGGTCATTGACCTATGGTAACCTCGGATGGCTATTTCGAGTTTCACGACTTTTTAGGGTAGATTTTAGAGCTAATTTCGAATTTGTCCCTCATCAGAACAATTGAGAAGTAGTTTTGGTGCCTATGTAACATGTTACGAAGCTGTCAGTGGTGGCTTTGGATAGTCGGCAGGACGCCTACTGGTTGACCTGACCTGACCTGACCCGACCTGCACCGAAGGCATGAAAACACCATCTTTGTTAAAGATAAATACCTAATTCGAAATCCGGACCCTGAAGCCCCTATAACAGCCTCTGTTTAAAAAGTTCTAGCAGGTCCCGATTTTCCCGACTTTTGAGTCATTGACCTGGCCTGGAAGATCAACCAATGACCTAGGGCCTTGAAAATGGGTAGTTTCGGCTTCCTCTTGTCACGGGCAACGCGTCCGTCTTTTCCGCGAAGCCCTAGCTCGATCATGCGCCGAAAAATTCAAGTTGGGGGTCCAATGAACACCCCCCAGTACCCCTGTATCATGTATGTATGTTAGCGGCTATAAAAAACACCATATCCAAATACCATTAGAGGCGAGAGTTAACTACATACATGTATTGGTTCCAGTATGCATTACTTTGCTTTGTTTCATTTTGCATTTACCTATGCGTGCATTTTTGTGCGAAACATTTTTGTATTTCAAACATTGCTACTTCTGTAGTTCGGCTTTGTGCCTGAATTGATTCATTTCCTGAATCATTGAATAAACATCTGAACAAGTCTTGCTGAGCTCAGCGTCGATGAACGTTAAGCATAATTAAATGTAGAGATCTATATTTCCATAGCTATAGCACATCAATTATGTCAAAGAAAATAGCGCATTCGCAAAACCTTTTCAGCATTTTTTTTTTTTTGTATTGAAGCTTGCACAAAATATATTAGGTAATCTGTGCGTAAGTAAAAGAACTCAATTAGATGCTGAGTCATAAAGTGAGACGTTTGAAACTTTGTCAAGCTACGAAAGCAATTGAATAGTTTCGCACCACTAGGTACACTGGGAACGTTCCGCAGTGTTGAGCCTCAGGCTGAATGTGGCATAACTCACGGTTAAAAGATGTTGAGCGTTTTAATATTGTCCTACCTACCTAACAAATTTGTGTTACAAATATATTAAGTGCACACAGTTTTCTGCTAATTATCTTCGGCAAATCAAGCATTTATCCTTGGAAAAAATATCATGCCTTTAAGGTTCACTAAATTCATGATGATCATAATCGATTCTCCAGTCGATGCTAAGATGAATATTGCAACAGGTGGCACACGAATTTATGGTAGGTATTAGGTACCTTATATAACGATGTTTTGCAGTTTGAACTGGTTTGATAGAAAATGCAGGTAGATACGGACAACATAGGCATGTGCAATGACATACCGTCCCAACTTTTAACTGTCCAAAATGCACAAATACCGATTGTTTATGTGTTTGTGCAGTGTCTGTGGTGAATCTGAATTTTCAAATAGGTACACAAAGTCGCATGTCGCAAGTTGAGAAAATTAAATCCACTTTCACCCACACCGCCCATATGGGAGGAAAGAGTGGAAGCTACATATTCCACAGCTGTACCTTGCAGGCTGCACGCCAGAACAGCGATCACAATCACTGGAACGGGAGACAGCTCGCGGCATCACCAACAGAGCAGGACGGTGACTTGTTGGTGATCACCAACAGAATGAAATGCCCGCTGACTAGGCCTCACTTCGCACCGCACTTCATTAACCGCCGGCTGGCTTAGCCGCTCACTGGCAGACTTCCACCGACAGAGAAATAGTCGCGTTGTGACCAGATTGTACCCACTAACATTGAAATAGCCGCTACCTGGCTGAGTTTCCCTCACTAACAGAGATATTGTTGCTTGCTCGCTAGATCCTTATTCTTACACAGAGAGATAGGTAGTCGCTTGTTGGCTATATCACTATCACAATTAGCAAGACAACCCACTAACGGTGAGTGAGCTGCTGACTGGCTGCTCTCACAAGTAGCGATTGATGCCAACTTGTGGGAAGTAAGTTGGCTTCTTCTCACCACGGAACATTGGGCAACTATTTTATCCGTTAAATCCGTTTTATACCTAGAAGTTAAAGCATATAGTTTGTTTACTGCTAGGCTTTCAAGCTTTCGAATGAAATGTCAATTGCTTTACTTTTTGGCTTTCAAATTCAGTGAAATGTTTCATATTTCAAGTTCCAAACGCCCAACGTTCCGTCGTGAAAAGAGCTGCTGCTCCCGGCTGGCTGCTGCCACAATGTCCCGCCGGCTGTCCGGTCAGTGCCGTCTTTCACTCACCGTGAGCAGCGGAACGGTCGACGGTAGGGGCCTCATGGTCGGTCCGGAGCTGCAGGGCGACTGACGCCCGGCCGGCGTCGACACACCTCTTCACTGCCGGGCGGCGCAAAAATGGCCCGCTTCCTGACAGCGCGGCGGGGCGGACACTCTCCGGGCGGACTCACCCCAAGGCCGGACGGACCGCCACTCCTAGACGGGCGGGGCGGCGGTAAGGAGGGATGACCCGCCCCATTGCCGTTCGGTTCCGTGGAAGTTTGATTTGTACCATCTGGTACGATGCACCGTGCCGGCGGTTACCACCGAGTACCGCGGCTGTCCGGCACGTGCGCGTGAACCCCTGCTAATTTCCATTGTCCAGACGTGCGGGCTGATACCGTTGGTTGAACGGTAGAGCTGTATGTATGTTTGTATGGTGGAAAAACGATTAGCATGGGTGAGATGAGCCCCATTCTGCAGATGTGCACGTGCAGAGGACCAGATTCAACATATTCATAGTGACAGGACCGATTGTACTCAAAGTGCTTAGCGTTTTTTTTTTTTTTTTTTTTTTTTTTTTGCTTTACCGGCGAATGTTTGGTGACCGACACAGGACAGTGAGTGCCGTTCTGAACGCGCATGGTGCATTTCAGCATCCCGAGAACAGGTAGACAGATTGCGTTTGCACCTATATCATTACAATTGATTGGAAGGACTGTTTGCAGTTAAAGCCAATAGTTTCTTTCACTGTTACACTGTTCTTCTGCGGAATCAATTTTGTTTTATGCAGGGAACGATTTTAATCGCGGTTGGCCCCTACATAAAACGAAGGAACGTTGGTCTACGGCTCTTAAATTCACATCAAGTATAATGTAGGTACGGATATTTTGTACTTTGTAATAGTGCCAAAGCTGCATATAACTATATCTCCCTATATATATTCCGAATCATTTATAATTAATTTCACTTTCATTAAGTCACTTGGTATTCTCGCAGTACCAAATCGTTTTTTCATGCCATTGTTTTTGCACATCATGTCATGCTTTCGTCGCAAAAAATTAGGTATAGATAAAAAATGTTTTTTTTTTTCTTGAATCAATATCAACTGAATTGAATTTAATAATCCCCAAAAGTTGAAATATTATGAAGAGGTATAGCGCCATGAGGAAAAGAATAATGGCAAATCAACATGTTCTAATTGATCGAATTGAAAGAGTCGAAAGAGAAAATGGAAAAGATAAATATTAAATTCACAAATTGGGTAATTCGAACACGATTCCATGTCAGCCAATCACCAGACAACCAGCTGGTTATCGGTTGATACAGAAGTCGAGTTTTAATGTACCCGAATTCGTAATTGCAATTTTTTGACGATCCTGTCCGTATTGATAACACTTGAATAACAAAAATGACTTTAAATGCCTGTGAACTCTTACGTTAGGCTGAAACAGACTCTTTCCGCGTTCAGGAAATCGCATGCAAGAGCCTATTCAAATACATTATAATGCTTCCCGCATCAATCGCATCCGGGAGGTGCGTGCGATTGATGCGAGCGTGCTTCCATGTATTTGAATAGGCTCTCGCATGCGATTTCCTGACTGTGGAAAGAGTCTGTTTCAGGGGTTAGAGGGCCTTGGTTTCAGGCATAAGTCAATCAACAAGCCCATAGCTCGATTGTGTGAATATCATATATGTTACAGACCGTATGAAAACCCAGTCCGTTTGCAAACGGCCTGGCCCAGTCAGGCCGTTTGAAAACGGCCTGAAAAAGCCGGCCGTTTGCAAACCGCCTGAAATATCAGGCCGTATGAAAACGGCCTAGGCAGTTTGAAACAGCCTAGACAGTTTGAAAACGGCCTAGTCAGTTTTCAAACGGTCTGGCGGAGTACAACAGCCTCTGAAGATTGAACTTAATGGATCCAGGTTGGTCGATGATCAGGCTGCATCCCTTTGAATGCTTGCGCATTCCATTTCGAATGACTCGTCTACATACGTCGAACATTTTTTACTGTGGTGATGCTCGGCCCGTCCGTTTTTCGACAATATTACTAATTATACAAGTTCACGGTCCGCCTGTGTACGGCCATCCAGTTGATGGAGCCTGGTGAAGCCACTACTGGTGAGGTCTGGTGAAACGTATCACTACAAGACTCACCGATTATTTTGCGGCATAAAACGCCGGAGCGCGCAATGGATATCAGAGTTCACATCAGTGGCGCGCGAACCGGGGGGGGGGGCTAGCGGGGGCTGAGCCCCTCCAACTTTTCGGCTGGGGGGGGGGCTCGTAATGTATTTGAGCCCCCCTCCCCCAGCTGGAGGAATCGAAATCGGAAATCTACCAACATAATTTCATAGATTCATACATAGGCGCGGGAACCGGGGGAGGGGGCAGTGGGGAAAGCTTGCTCCCACAGCTCTGGGGCCGTGGGGGCGGTGCCCCACAACTTTTCATGAGGTCAGGAACCGTTGGGGCAGCTTGTCCTTCCCAAATTAGGGGTTGTTGGTCATAAAGGAAGAAAGCATGTAAGTGAAAAAATCCACCTCTTTCACTGGCTCGCACTGAAAACAAATGGACACAGTGAGGGCATGTTCTGTACTGGTAACACATCAGTCATGTGTTAATCGCACCCAAAACACAGTAAGGCTGAGTATTTTCACGCATGGCGGGACCTTCGACACGTTTGATAACACATAAAACAGAATAATGACACAATTTTCTCGTGCCAAGCACGCTGGACGAATGTAATGCATCAGTGTATCAAAATCATGTGTTGTCAGATATGGTAGACGTGTACCCTTGCACAAATACACCGTGCCATCCACCAGTGAGCGATCTCTGAACCTTAACTTCAGATGGGGATAATAGAGGGCGTTTTTCGAGCACCGACTTTTATGCTGGGTTTTTGTAAAAAATTTGCTTAAGTGTTTTGAGAAAGGTCAAAATGCACAATACAGCCGAGGGAGTCGATACATGATAAATTGTCTAGAGCAATATACGCTGATTACATCAAGTGCAAGCTGAAGCATAGCTAATTAACGTCTGCTTGGAGGAAGAAACTCCTCCGTCTATATAGGATATATTTGAAAAATCGGTGGCTGTAAGTTCCACCTATCCGTGCTTCTATCCTCAGGATACTGAAATCCTTCTCCTCCACGCCGCAACCCCCCTCCGGGCTGGACAGGCAACTTTATCTCATGCGGGCTGCTCCCTTGGAGCGGCACCGCTGCTCCTGAGGGAGCGCACCCCGTAGCCGGGTGCAGTGAGTGCCTTGGGGCTGGGTGGCCTGTCCTCTGGACGGGCTCAGCCCCGGCGACTCACTAGGGTGCCTGCCCAGACCATTGTCTCCCCCTAATTCCTATCATCCTTCCGGCTCTGCAATGGTCTTGTCGACCGAAAGGGCCTAACCCAACAAAACTAAAGGCTGTAAGTTCACCTATCCGTGCTTCTATCCTCAGGATACTGAAATCCTTCTCCTCCACACCGCAACCCCCTTCCGGGCTGGACAGGCAACTTTATCTCATGCGGGCTGCTCCCTTGGAGCGGCGCCGCTGCTCCCGAGGGAGCGCACCCCGTAGCCGGGTGCAGTGAGTGCCTTGGGGCTGGGTGGCCTGTCTTCGGACGGGCTCAGCCCCGGCGACTCACTAGGGTGCCTGCCCAGACCAATGTCTCCCCCTAATTCCTATCATCCTTCCGGCTCTGCAATGGTCTTGTCGACCGAAAGGGCCTAACCCAACAAAACAAAGGCTGTAAGTTTACAGGCTAAGGTGATCGTTAGTTCGCTCAGCGACTGGCATTTCACGGGTTTGTTTTGAGCTTCTCCTACGCGCATCCCTACCCTTCTCTCCCAAGTTTCTTCCAGCAGTTCCATTCCCTGCCCCTCTTCTGCCATCTACCACGCCCAGTTTGCCCCACTATGGGGAAGCGGCGCCGTCAGCGCCCGCTATCCGATTCCCTCTCCGATTCCGACTCTGACTCCCCTCTGAATCCGACTCCTGATCCGACTCCTCCCTCTGCCATGGACACCGATTCCCGCCCGACCGTCAACCCTCCCTCCTCTGCCCGCCCCTTGACTGATCTACCCGGTACTGACCCTCGCTCGTCCACTGACCACGCCCTGGCCTCTGACCTACACCCGACCTCTGACCCCGCCCGGCACTCTGACCCTCGCTCGTCTACCGACCTCGCCCGGAGCCATGACCACCGCCCGTCCTCTGATCACGCACGGAGCTCTGACCCGCGCCCGAACTTGGCCAACGCACCTGCCTGTGACTTGGTAGACCGCTCTCCGCTCGAGCCCTACTTGGCTCTCGATGGCTCGTTTCTGGTTGTCAAGCCTCACGATAGCGATTTTTCTTTCCGTAAGATCAACGTTTTCTGGCCTCAGAAGCAGATCGCTGCTATCTGTGGACAGTACGGTCCCGATATCGAAGCCCCAGCTAATGGTACACTGATCATCAAAACACACAACCGAAGAGATACCAAGGCGCTCCTGAAGACGACGGTTTTCTGTGGAAAGCAGGTGACGGTATCTCTCCACCAGGCTCGAAACTCCTCCAAAGGCACGATCTTCGCCCCAGAGCTCCGCCACATGTCCGAGGATGAAATCCTCTCCGAACTTCGATGCGAAGGAGTGACACACATCCGTCGACTGACCACGTTCCGAGATGGTCAGAGGAAAGACACCAGCCTGCTCGTCCTCACATTCGAGACCACCACTCTGCCGGAAAAAATCTCAATCGGATGGCTCAAAAAAGACGTACGAGTTTTCATCCCTAACCCACTCCGCTGCTTTAAGTGTCAAAGATTTGGCCATGGAAGTTCCACGTGCCGTCAGTCGGCCCGCTGTCAGAAGTGTGGTGAAGCCCCTCACGAGGACACGGCATGCTCCAAACCCATCACGTGCCTCAGCTGTGGTAGCCCCGATCACTCGGTATCGTCCTCCCAGTGCCCCACGTGGAAGAAGGAAAAGCGCATCTGTGAGATGAAAGCGAAGTCTGGATGCTCCTACCCAGACGCTCGCCTGCGCGTGGAGGCCGAGACGGCCACTCCGACCCCTGGTAGGACTTATGCTAAGGCCGCCAGTACCGAGACAGCTTCATGCAGTACCCAGACCGACCCGATCGCAGCACTACCCCCTCTCCAGCTGCTCAAACCTCTGAGCACATCCACCTCCGCATCCACAAACACGAACGACGTGACTGAGACTGTGTTTGGAGACCCGATGCCTTCCTCC